CAGATTTTCTCTTCCTAAGTGTCTGTCAATGAATTTTTTGGCAACAACCAGAATTCACTAAACCAAATTTTATTTCTTCAAATCAACTCCCTTTTTTCTTTGCAACTAGAATTCACAGCGCATTTCTATGGTCTATGCCATGCAGTTGGGTGCACATTCCTTGCAGTCAAAAATTCCAATCAGTGGTCACATAATGGGTTATGTTACAGCCTTAATATCATTCTTCCCTAATTGGCTCATGAATAAATATAGTTATTTAGGCTCAGTTTGGGAGGAGTACAAATACAAATTTGTAGAGTGCAAAACCTTACATTTTGCATTATTTTGTATATATTTGTACTGTACATATTTGCATTTGTACTCCTTCCAAACTGAGCCTTACAGAAAATTCCATTAACCTGATAATTAGTAAAACGGTTTCTTTTCAAATTTTCTTGAACAAACGTAGGGGTTTAAAGTGAATCCTTAAGGCTATGTTTGATTTGTTAGAAAATAAGAGAAATATAAAGATGATGGTCCATTCAGAGCCTAGTAGTCAAGGACTTGGGGCTAAGAAGTGGAGCTCAACTGTCTCGAGGAAGTCCTTCCCCCCTGCAAAAGTGAAAGTTGAGGAATGGCAAGTTGGCAACATGAACCAGTGATCCGATGTGGATATGTATGAGAGGTCCAAAGCGTGTTGGTAGGACTGGGGGAGGACTATTTTAGGGGAACAGATGAAGTAAAGACAGCCAAGAATCTGCAAAGCCAGAGGCTTGATAAGAAGTTCAACATTTCACTTCACATGGTCCACAAAATGGTTTAAGAATCAGATGAGGAAAAGGAATGGTGAAGGGAATGGGAAGAAATGCATAACTCCACATCTAAGAAGTGGGGAGGGATTACTCTTATTTGTTAGTTATAAACATGAAAAGGACTTCCTACGTTTTTCTTTCTCACCAGTGAATGACTTATTTGTTATATATATATATATATATATATATATAAATTTTGAAGAGAATTAGTTTTCAATTTTGAACTATTTGACAATGCTAGTTATATAAATTCCTAGTCTTCGTTACAGAAATAATAACTTTATATACAATGTTGAATATTTTATACATAAAATAGTCTAATGAAAGATATATTAAAAATAATAAAATCACAGTACATAAAAAAGAATAATAATTGTCATAATGAAAGAAAATAAACATCATTTGCAGTATCCTATTTCTACTAACAATAAATATTTTTTAATTAGCAGAAAATTTCATTTAATTAAAAAATTAACAATGCATCATACAAAGAATTATTGAAATTTCAGCATGAATAACAATTTTTATGTCCAAATCACCCTTGAATGGCGAGTTAGAGGAAAATGGTATTTTTCATTTTTCAATTATATTTTTGTTTTTTACATTTTTAGTGGGACGGAAATCCCAATATCTAATATGATGACAAAGGGATTTAATGGAAAAGTGAACCCTTATATCATTTGTTGAAGGGTAAAATTTCAACAACATTTATAATATTACAGACTAATAAAACTTATTACTGAAAGTTTAGACATATTTTCAGAACTATTATTGAAAAGTAATAATATTTTCAGTAATTCAAAATTTTTAAAAATTATATTGAATTTTTAGATTTTGATATTAGTTATAATAACTTATAATAAATATATTCAGCAATTATTAGTTATTTTAAAATATAATAAATATTCCAAAGTATACTTGAAATGGTAATAAATATTTAGTAATTATTTTGATTTTTATATTTTGATATTATTATTTTTATTTTCAATAATTTCAGATTTCAAAACAATATTTAAAACCAATTATCATCAGAATTTTCAGAACTTAAAATTACTAATGTCACCAATTATTAGAACTATTCTAACGAATTCTCACAACAATTATTTATTTATTTTTGTATTTTGATATTAATATATTTTTTTATTTTCAATAATTTCAGATTTCAAAACAATATTTAAAATCAACCTATTCTGGTTTTATTAATTGGTAATTAATTAATGACATTAATTTCTGAAAATGTTAAAATTTGAAAATAATAATTACTCATGACATTAATTAAAATAAGTAATTTCAATAACCATTAACAAACTTTAGTAATTTTTTTGCAATAAGTATATATTAATCTGTTCAGTTATTTTCGTCAACTATTAGTGAAAAATTAATATTTAATTAAAATATTAATAAATATAAATTTCATAATTAAAAATTATTGATAGCCTTTCATTGGAAAATTTATTTCAGTAAAATTAAATTTATTTTTCTAACATTCACATTAATTTTGATATTTTCAGTAATTTTGGTCAATTTATTAAAAAAACACTTTTGCTAATTTATTGTTTTCAAATATTATTATTACCATTATTGATATTACAATAGGTAATTTTAATATTATATTTATTTTTATTATTAATATTCAGATTCATTAATATTGTCAATTACCAATTTATAATTACGAACACTATCGATATATAATGAAGATTATTTAATATCAGTAATTATAATTAATAATATAATAATTTTTATCCATAATTTAATAAATTACTATAAATACAATTAAATTAATGTATTTATTAATTAACAGTAATTATTTTTAAGTAAATAATATTATATTTAATAATTAACAGGAATTAACATTAAATTTAATAATTATAGTATTTTTAAATAATTAACAATATTGATTAAAACCCAGAATTATTTAACAGTAATTAAGAGTAAATAACTACTGTATTTAACAGTAACTAATTCAGATTAATTAGGAGTTCAACCAGAAAACCCTTTATCAGTAATTAAAAGCATTAACAGTAATTATATTTAAATTGGTTTTAAATTTAACAGTAATAAAATATTAAGATAGTATTAATTAACAACAATTARCAGTAATTCAATTGTAAAGAAATTATTTTTAAATTGTAATGAGTTGTGATTATAACTATAGTATTTTAATATGTAATTAACAGTATAATGAAAAATACATCTAATATTTATTACAGTATTTAATTATATTAATGTAAATACATTAAAAATAAAATATTTATTAATTAACAGTAATATAATTAACAGCAATTAATTATGAAAAGTAATAAATTACGTTTAACAGCATTTATTAACAGAAATAAATATTAATTAATTATAGTAATTATAGTAATATTCATTCAATGAATTCACATTAGCTAGCCATAGTTACTTGTATTAATTATAATGAAGTTATATTGATATAATAATAATTAATTATAGTAGTTATACTATTTTTTATAATATTTTAATCATAATATTAAAATTGCTGTTATAAACAATTAATAATAAAAATGATAGTCGTAATAAATTGAGTAATTTTTAAAATATATTAATAATTAATAACTGATACTTATATTAGTAATTATCATTACTTTTATAATTATGAATTAATATAAACATTAAATGGTTAAATCCAAATTAATGATTAGCATTATTACAATCATTATTAATGATCAGTAATTAATTAAACCGGGTTTGTTTTCAACACGTAATTAATTATCTATCCGAATTAAAAATTATCATTAATTTCATTGCTGTTAATTATCAGTAATTAATTACGTGTATTTAAGTAGTAGTAATTAATTAAATACCTTAAGTAATAAGCAACAATTGAATGATTTAAATACCTTAATTAAGAAGCCACAATTGTTGGGAGTTGACTCAGTTTAAATACCTTAAAGGCTTAAACTGGCTCAAAATACCAGGGTCATTATTAAGGAACAGTTAAAGTGTTAGTTTGGATCAGACCCGACCCGTTCCGATCCGCATAACATCTTCTTAACCCGACTCCAAGGTTTTATTCGCTCGACAGAGCGACGATACTAACCATACAGCAAACTTCAAAAGGCCAAATAACGGTGATTTATTACCCATTTGAACTTATAAATGCATTAGATATTCGAAAATTAGAAGAAAATAACAATAGAATTTGAAAAAAAATAAAAAAATAAGTGAAAACACAAATCAGTTGTGATAACATTCATCGGTGAACAGAGTTAACCAATTTACTGATTTTACTGAACCCTAACTCTTTAACAGATCTAACCGATTTAACATTAAATAACTACTAAAAAACTAAAAAAAATAGAGCATATAGTAGACCAACCGATTGAAGTATTCTTGAAGTTCAAACTTCTCTAAATTGCATACTTGTATAAGTTGCAGAGTTCTCTGGGTTGTAGATTTCTCTGAGTTGCAGACTTCTCAGAGATGCAAGCCTCTCAAAATGTGCAGAAAGATGGCTAGTTCGGTTGGATGAAGTTGCATATTGTTCAGAGATGAAAATTGAAATGTTGCATATTCTCCTTTTTTTTTAGGAAACGATAGAGTGGGAGCTTCCCACTCCTCACTTTTTGTAAAAAAGAGTTCGAATGACATATGACTTTGCATGGAGGTGGGCTGTGTTCTTAAATGGCCACTTCTCAGATTGTTGACATGTCTACTTTTTCTAATAAAATTCGGAAGGCCACTACTCAGATTGTTCTTGATTTTGCAAATTACTGGGAGGACAGTTGTCTTACATTAGGGTTGCCACGTATTTGATTGGGAAGGAGTTTGGCCTGATTTTATTACTTTACTATATATATATATATATATATATATATATATTCGACTATGATATGGAAAAGATATGATATCTGAAAAATTTCTGACCAATCAACTAAAATCATAAATATGGTAGCCAATTAGATGTTATTTATCAAAATTCATGGATATGTTTTGATTGATCAAAACTCTTCTCATACCATATCTTTTCCGCATCATAGATTTTCCCATATATATATTAGGTGTGCTTGGGATGATCCAAATTTGATCTGTTTACAATTGGATTGAATATGAACCCACTCCTATCTGATCCGATTTGRACAATATATAATATTTTGATCAATTTTGGTTTAATTTGTTAATGAATATTCAATATACGATTGTAATTTGACTTCAAACTTTTTTTTTTTTAAACTGTTGCTTTTGCAGTAGAGCAATAGGAAAGGCCAATTCCAGGAGCTACATTCTTCAAATAAACAAAACATGGAATCACTTGAATTCTCTCGATCTTTTGCTCTAATTATTCAAATAAACAAAGCTCACAAGTTTTTTTTTCCCTCATGTGAAGTTAACTTATCAGGATAACATTTGCCACATGGAACTTGGGAGATATAGATCTCATTGCTTATATTGATAGTTTGATACTTATCGTTCAGTTTGGCCGATTTCATGCCATTTAGGTGTCGGACATCATTTTATATTTCATCTGTACCCCCAACAACTTGCTCTAATCAGAAAAGAAATTTGAGTTCTCCTCACTCAATCATTTTTGAGTAGACATTTTCGTACATTAAAAGGTGCCATAATTGGGTCTACGAAGGATCATTCCATATTTGAAGATATTTATTTTTGCCATGTAGAAGGATCTTATGGTCAATTTAGACTATCAGATGGGGGACCCAATGGACTGGTCACATGTTCAACTCAACAGTTTATTAGAGCTATTTCCCTTGGTTGTTTCCACAACTAATAATAATCATTCATTTAAGCTTATAGTGTAAAACTTAGTTTTTCATGGATACAATACAAGGTGTAGAGGAACTTAGAGAATGGAGATTTCTTTTTAAATTCTAAATTAATTTGCCATGTGTAAGACTCTTTTGGCGTTTAAATAGGACTGGCATTTGGATAGGAATCGCAATAGAGTAGGGACAATGCTCCTTGTCTCCCGCCTGACTTTGAAACAAACATCTATTCCCAACTCTGATCCCCACCAGGTATAAAAATGACCATCCATCGTTGATCCCTGATGGGGGTGGATTCCCTGCTAGGGATTCAAATCCTTGAAGTTGTTAAATTAAAATTATTTTTAAAAAATAAATTTACTTAAAAATACGAATTTTTAAAATATAAAAATATTTTAAATATATTTTGATATATATATATATATATATATATATAATACCATAATTCAAAGTATCGATATTGTATTGGACAATTTGGATATGGATACAGATATACTTGCAAAGCGCATGGATATGAACGAAAAAACATGAAAACGTTTGGATACGCTAAGAAAATGTGCACAGATTTCATAAATATATTAATAGCATTAAGTTTAATGTCAAAACAACTATAAATAATATATAAATACATATGAATTGTATATTTAAAAGATATATATATAAAGAAATATATTATAATTAATATAACAGGACATGTAGATATTATACAATTTTATTAATAATGCATCAACCAAGAGCCCAAGGCATAAAGCTAATATTATTTTATAATCTATTGAAGTGTAAGGCATAAAGCATATCCAACTATTATATCATTTTTTTCTATTTTTCTATTTTTATTTTTTAACATTAACAAAAAAATTCAGCTAAAAGTTAATTCTTAAATGTTTGATAAATAATATTTATATTTTTGTAAACAATAAATATGTTATTATAAAATGTAAATTAAAATATAAATTAGTAATTTATAAAAATATATAATCTTAACTTAAAATATATCAAATCTATTAAAATTTTGAAAATGCATRTCATATGAAAATTCATAAATTTTAATTACTAAAATAATTATTCCATTATTAATATTTTATTTTTATAAAATTTTGAAGTTAAAAATTATTTTTTATATAAAATTTAGATTAATGGATTTGATAGATTCAATTTATATAATATTTTTAAATACTTTGTAAATAATAAATACATTGTTATTTAATTGATAGCGTTTGTGTATTGGTACTTTAACTGATATGCCTTCGCCTTCTATTTTTTTAGTTTTTTCTTTTTTGAATTTTAATTTTAAATATATCATATATAAATTATTTAATATAAAAAGGATTTTGTAAAAGAACCTTATCGGAGTTGGGGCAAGGTAGGGAATTTACTCCTCATCCCCATCTCTGACCCAATGGGTTGGGGAAGCAGGATGCCCGACAGGGACGAGAAAAATTACTATCCCTACACTTGGACGAACCTAACCAAAGCCCTACTGGTTGAGTTCTCAGGCCCCAAGCTGAGCCTAGGGTAGAAAACTCAGGCTTTACCTAAAAGTCAGGTTGGGCTTCGGTTGGGGCTTTTGGTGTCTCAAGTCGGGTTTAYTTTGAGTCCAACTGACATTTTATAAAATAAATAGGTGTGGGATGCGTACACATATAATATGTATATTATGTATTTCTCAAATTATATATAGCTATTTAAAGGTGATGCTAAAATCAAGGTTCAAAATTTTGTTAAGTATCGGCCCGTATTGGTTGATACGTATCGTTCTGGCATGGTACATGGTACCACATTGAATGTGTCATATCTATTCATTGTATCGAAGATGTATCATGGAGTATCGACCGATATAGTATGATTTTATTGTGGCGGAAATGCAAATAAAACCCTCTTCGAAAAAGGGCTTTTAAACCCATTTCAGAAGCCCTCTTTCTTCCCTAAACTCTCCAGAAACGTTCATACCATTACTAGAGACTCAAATCTACTGAAAATCCGCCAAAACATCTACAAGTTTGCAAGATCCAACAACTTTTTCAAGGTTGTTAAAAAAGGAGCGAAAATAGGTATGTTTTCTCATTTTTTTTTGCAGTTTCAGCCAATCKTTTTGTGTTTTTTTAGCTTGGATGCTTCAAAACATATTTATGTGTGTTGATCTACTATTTTTGTGCAAAACATCCTATGTATTTTGATGCTATATGTAGATTTTTGTCAATATTTAAAGAAATTCCAGAATAGTAAAAGATAAAAAAAAAATTAGTTTTTTCTTGTGATCTACCTCAAGAAATTGATTATATTGTAGATCTATTTATGATCTACCATGTCCATGGATCAATTGAATTTTTTCTAAATAATTGATTTTTTAATATTTATTTCAATTTTCGGAATAATATATATATATATATATATATATATATAATTTCTTCGATTTTACGTGATCAAAGTATCTAACCCTATATGTTGAGACTTGAGTATGTTGTACATCTAATATTGATCTAACATGGTCTAAAATTCCATAAGATTGATCTATCATATGAAAAATTTAGTTTGTTTTTTTTTTCTAATTTTTTATTTTTAGATTATAAATATTTATTTATTTCTCTAATTTTTTTGCTATGATATAAATTTTAATAATAAATATTTACAGATTACAGTAAATATATGGATGATCTATTACGTGATTTTGTCCAAAAATCCATTTAATTTCTCTGTTATATATTTAATTTTTCAAATTTAATTTAATTTTTAGAATAAAATGTGCAAAATAATTATTTGAGTAAAAATAAATAATTATTTAGTTTTTAGAATGAAACATGTAAAMTAATTATTTGATTTATTATGTCCATAAATCCATTCAATTTTTCTGTTACATATAAAATTTTTCATATTTTAATTTAATTTTAGAACAAAAATGCAAAATAATTATTTGAAAAAATAAATAATTATTTAAATTTTAGAATGAAACATTCAAAAATAATTATTTGATCTATTATTTCCATAAATCCATTCAATTTTTCTGTTATATATTTAATTTTTCAAAATTTAATTTAATTTTTAGAATAAAATGTGCGAAAAATTATTTTAATAAAAATAAATAATTATTTAGTTTTTAGAATGAAACATGTAAAATAATTATTTGATGTATTATGTCCATAAATCCATTCAATTTTTTTGTTATATATTTAATTTTTCAAATTTTAATTTAATTTTTAAAATAAAATGTGCAAAATAATTATTTAGTTTTTAGAAAGAAACATGCAAAATAATTATTTGATGTATTATGTCCATAAATCCATTCAAATTTTCTGTTATATATTTAATTTTTCAAATTTTAATTTAATTTTTAGAATAAAATGTGCAAAATAATTATATAAATAAAAATAAATAATTATTTAATTCTTAGAATGAAACATGAAAAATAATTATTAATTTTAGAATAAAAATAATATATGTCCATGAAGCCATTTAGAAAAAATATTTGTTTAATTTTTAGAAATTAGAATAAAACATGCAAAATAATTATTTGAATAAAGATAAATAATTATTTGAATAAAGATAAATAATTATTTAAAAGATAATAAGATATAAAAAAGTGTTTGATTAACTAATTACAAAATTTACATAATTGTTAATTTTTTAATAAGATTAGATAACATTTGTTTACTAACACATTACTACTTAAAATTGGATAATTTATATAATAATTGAATTTTTATGTGATTCTTGGTGGATATTTGTGATTAAATACATATATATGATGGATAATTGGTTATTTGGTAATTAATGATTTTTATTTGTAAATTATATAATTTATTTAACTACTTTTTAGATACTTAAATTTATGATTAACTGTTGCTTCTAAATTCCAATTAATTTTTGTGCATATGCATTATGATAGTGTAACACTGTGAATATGTGACACACTAATACTTGGGAGTTGGGATCTAGAATTTGACCATTTAATCTTTTGACATGGCATCCAAAAAATGGAAGAAGAAGATATTGGTTGGAAATATGACACTATAGTTGATGGGAATGAATTCCATACAAAATGCAACTTTTGTAAGCAAGTTATGAAATATGGTGGTGTGGCCCGTTTGAAACATCACTTAGTAAGAGGATATTCTAATGTTGTTAATTGCCCTAAATGCCCGCAAGAAATTTGTAAGGCGATGCAAAAACATCTCAAAGAACAAGAGATGTTGTGAAAGTAACAAGAAAATGATAAAAAAATGATTACACGAACATTGGGGTTTAGAGATGATGATGATGAAGGAGAGGAGGACATAGAATCAATGCCTCAATATTTTAACATAGATGATGATGATGTAGAACAAAGAACATATAACATGGGATGGGAAGACATGCATCACGAGCTACACAGTGGGAAGAGGAGCAAGTACAACGATTTTAGAGAATTAAGTCTGTATTTGCAGATTCAGAGTATTAGGGGGTGGTGAGTCATCATAAGCATCTTTGTCAAGGAGTAAAAGTAAACTATTCCGTACACTGAGTATGAAAAGAGTATTTTCAAAGCTAAATCCCTTTAAAAAATTGTCATCAAGTAGGGACACTCCAACTATTGAAGAGATGGATGGATATTTATATAGAGATAGGGATGYTACATAGAGAATACTTAAGGAGTGCTATGAGAAAAGCTTTGAACATAATATAAAAAGAGCAATTGCAATGTTTTTATTGTACAATCACATTCCTGCAAATGTAACAAACTCCCCATATTATCAAGTTATTATAGATGAAATAGCCAATGTAAGAAAGTGTTTGAAGGGGCCTACAACTTATGAGGTGATGG